GATGTGGTCATTTGCTGCACCATCTCCTCAGAGCAATTTGTTGATAGTGTCGTGTCTTGCCAGATGATGAGGGGTGACATCACTCATGAGCCTTCTCAGACACTCTTCCCCTTTCACTCAAGCCTGAGATTTTGTAGCATTGCTTCAAATTAGGATTGATCTGGACTTGGGAAATACAATGTTTCTCTACTTCTGCATGATAAAAATTATAATTTAACTTAAACTTAAAATGTGGAGTTTGCTAGAAAATCTGTAGGTCTATCAGTCAGTTAAAGTACTATTCAGTATGACATAGGGTGGCTTTCCTGTAGTGGTTTGAGTCTGTTTTTCTGTATTTTCTGTATAAGAAAAGAGTAAGTTACACTTGAGTGCATGTATGAACATTATACATCTCCAACAGCAAATAGCTTCCATTAGGTCAGATTCTGTTCTCAGCTGCCATAGATAATTCAGATTAATTCAGTACACTGAACATAGCTAAATTAATTCTGCATTTACACCAGTACCGTTTTGAAAAAGTGTGATTTAATATGTCAGTACTCTCAAGCAGAGTGTAGAATTAAAATACAATACTCTCACAGGGTAAAAGATAGTCTTATAGGTAACCATTCCCATCCATTGTTTTATGTCACTGAAATTCCATTATAGGTTGACATACTGTAACTGAGAGCAAATTTCCATCCAAAAATCCATGAAGATAGCTATATGTAATGCATTACCTCAGATAGATCAATTAAAAATTTGAGGAATTTGCACTTAGCTGTAGTACTGTAACATGGTTTTAGTTTGCATGCTGTTTTCATTTTGTGTTTGTGCTTTAATTCTTTTTATGAATGTTCAGGTTGAAATAAATCTAAAACGTTATCCGACTCCATACCCGGAGGATTTAAAGAATATGGTAAAATCAGTTCAAAATCTGGTGGGCAAAACAAGCCATGGAGTACGGCCTGAGAACTCAACACCAACCGTGAACAGTGAACAAACAGTGAAAGAAAAGTATGAGCACAAGTGGCCCATGGCACCAAAGGAGATTTCAGTGGAGGTAATGTAAAAGGATCGTTGCTCCTCTCAAGAGTTCAAGATGGGGTTCTAGCATAACCTCCATCAAATGATATTCTGCATCTGCTGTGAACTTCATACCTAAGTTTCTAGTTTCATTCCATAACGTTAATTTAGTTTTATATTGAGTTGCTGTTTTTCCCAATACGACTGAGTTTATCAGACTGAATTTTTGGTTTTAAATCTACCTAGATCTGAATTTTGGTATTGATATATACAAGCACTCTCCTAAATTTTAATGATAGGAGAGACTTGCATATTAGCAGGAGAATGGACCTGATCATGATTTACATCTCAGACTTAAGTAAGTGTATTTCTGTGTCAAATATGTTAATGACAGATCCGTTTGTTCTGTCTGACTCTACTGTGCCATTAGGTTCTGCTTCTCCTATTCACATTACATGTAGTAGATGGCCAATTAGCCTTGTCAAAAGTTAATGAAGTCGGCAGGAGTGCTTCTTCGACTGCAGGGAACTTCAGATCAGGCACCCCCTGAATAGCAACATAGAATGAGTTGCAGAATCAAGCCCTTAACAGGTTTGCCAGAAGTGGATCAGTATGCATAGTAACAGTCTTCTATTCTGACATGAATACAGTCACTGAAAGGTAAATTCCTACATACTGCAGTCTTGTGCAAAGCTGTTACAAATAGCTGAAGCTTGATCTCAGAGGGCATCTACTCATTAACATTCACACTAACGACTTACTTTGTGCCCGCACAGTTTATAAATAAGGGAAATCTCTTACGCTGGCAGTGTGTACTGATAGTTTATAAGCTTTGACAGGTCTACAATAATACCAGCATTCTTGAAAATCTTTATGAAGTCTTAATGTTCAAAAGGAAGAAACGAGGAAAAAAGTGTATCCCATTATCTTTTCATTCCTTTGTTATTTAAACATTATGATAAATTCATTGTCCTTGAAATATCCCTGTCTCTGGCTAGTTATGTATGCCTGAATTTTTCTTCCTCAGTTTTCCATATCCTTAACATGGATTGGCTGTTCTTACATATTCAACGGTCACTGTAGCTGCTCGGGCAGTGCTGTGTGTTTTATTTACAGTTAAACATTTTCATTTCCTAAAAACAACCACTAAAGTTTTCTCTTAAGATGGCTTCAGAAGACTTTCTTCGAATCTAGGCACAGTTTTGATTAGGACTTTAAACTAAAATGTTTAAGTTAAAATCATTAATGTTTTTATCTAAATCTGAAATCTTAAATTCCACCATGATTCCTTTTTACTCATTAAATTCTTTCTTAGTGTGTAAATCTGGCATATTCTGCTGTTGTTGCTGAACACATACAATTTATTTTGTGTCATCTAGCTTTTGAACTTGAACATTCTTAACAGCTTTCTGTAGGTTTTAATTATCCCTACTGTCAACACACACGTATTATTTAAGTGGAACTTGAATCAATGTTGTCTGACAAAGACATTAGGTGTTTGGTCTTGTGGCCGTGTCTGGTGATGCAGGCTTCAGAAATAGGTGGCTGTACTGGTTTAGTTGCTGCTTAACTGAATATTAAGTTGTTAAATTAAAATGTTAACATCCCAGTTAACTGAGCCACAGCAGAGCGCCCTGTGAGTATGCAAAGCCCAGTGAAGCCTCCATTATGGAGGTGTAAGGAAAGAGTAAATGGCAGCAACACCATAAAATACTACTGTTACTCTGAAGTATTTGTGTGACCACATACTGTGTTCTAACATCGAAAAAGATGAAGACAAATTTCATTCTTACGTTTCATTCTTTGATAAAAATGCATTCACTCTTGCACCAGAAAAATAATAATGTCTAGTTTTTCTGTGAACGTACCTGAACTGTTAATTGCATGAGTATCACAAAAAGCATTCTATAAAAATAGTTGAATTGCTGAAGACCCTGCGGTAATTCCTGAAGTGCAATTAAATAATGTGATTGCAATTTCCTCGTTAATTTTCTACCACAAGCAACTGATGTGTGTGGCTATTTCCATCATATCAGTGAAGATGTATTTTTCATCATCTATTATTATAATAGTGAAGATGGTGGAGCTTTTTTAGATTTTAATTTCGCTAGTACTATGTCAAGGCTAGTAACGCAACTGTCTTGTCAACTAAAGAAAAGAAAAAAAGTGTTCTTGTCATTCATACAAATAATGACACTGAGAACATTTTATGGCTGTAAAGCAGGATGATGTATACATTTCCCTCTCTTTGGCTTCCTGCGTGAAGATAAAGAGCAGCTATGGCAAACTGTTCAAAAAGTGTGAATGATATTAACATGACTTCAGTTGTAACATAGTAAATAAAACGTAATTAAGCTCCAGTTGCTTTTCAGATAATTAGGAGACATGATCTCAAGCCTCAAGTTAAAATACAGTTTGAAAATGCAGGTGTGTTCTTATATAGATTTAGACTGAAGACAGTTTCTAATAACAAGGTAATTTAATTTCAGATGCAATGGTCACTTTTTCATTCTCAGAGGCCAGATAAGCTGGTTTCTTTTCTGATGGTTTCTTGCAATTAATTTACACATTTCTTTTCACAAAACTGTTTCTAAAGGGAGCATCTGAAATAAGTAACAAGCTACATTTCAAATCCACTATGTCATCCTCCACCTTCAGTTATAATAAGCAAACAATTTCTTAATTAATCATCAATTAAAATAAACATCTTCATTGTCCTAAGTAATTTTGAAAGATGTGCATTTTAGACAAAAAGCAGTCTAGGATAACTTAATGTGTTGTGTAGCCTTTCCATGAGAAACAATGAGAAATACCACAAATCAGCAATTAAGATCTTTATAGTTAGTATTCTTGATATGTATGGATATCAGCTGGAAATACTTCTATATAACTCCCACCTTTGGATTAAAAACAAAGTCTTTTCTAGTCCAACCTGCAGGATTCCATCCTTTGTGTTAATTCCTAGCAGGTTTATTAATACTATGTAAAAAGGAGAGATTGTTATTCGCTCAGAGTGATCTGATGCAGATGCTAGTGCTAACAACTAGAAAAATACCCCCTCAGCTATATTGCATCTTCTGAGACCTTCATCTCATCTCAGTCAAAATTAAGACCTCTATCCTTTTAACCTCTGACTTTGTTACTGTGTGGGTTTTTTGGGTGGGTGGGGGTGGAGAAGAGTGTTCTTTTTCATTTGTTTTTCAGTGAAAGTTTTAGAGATTGTCTTAAAGGATCATCTTGCCTTTCCAGGAAGACTTACACACTTTTATTTCCCCCCGGATGCCTGGCTTCAATTGATTCAGTTGATGTGTCTATTGTGGGAGCTGTTTTCCACTAATGCAATGCAGTGACAGTCTCTCCTCATTGAGAGAGGAATATATGCTAAAGATTTTTTATTTGTATCTGCTTTAAGTCCATACCTTGATAAACTCTTTGCAACAGAATTACCGATATTTTACCAGGAGTCAGAAGTATCTTCCTTATAGAGTTTTTGATGTCTCCATGGCACAAAAGATCTTGACTGTTTATGACCTTGGTGCCTTCTTGTCAAAGGCAAAAGGAGATAATGATTTACTTATTTGGAGGTCTGATTCACAAGAGACCTTTCTTCAAATTTTTCTTCAAATAAGATGTCAAATGTCTTAAGGTTCATTTTGAGTTACTTTGACTTCTGCCTGACCTTATTTAAGTGTCTGGATTGGAGGAGCATTATTCAGGGCTGCCTCCAAGACAAAGTGTACCTTCCATGAAATCAGTCCAAGACATCACTTGACCCCCTGAGGCTCCTGCTCTGTCTGTCCCCACCTGCATGAGGACTCCGGAGGTGCAGTATTACATGTGTGGACATGGCACTCTGTACAAACTCATATATACGGGGCATGAAGGCCTGGTTTATAATTGGTGGACTGTGAAGTGGCTTTTTTGCAGAAGGCCTGAGACTGACTCTGTTGGCAGCAACCTCAGTGAGATGTATGCACTTGGGTGCATTTCCATCCAGATAGAGAGCAACAGAAGCTTGTTTCCTCCAGAGATGGGAGAGCAATTCACATATCAGGGTGTTGCAACTCGGGCGGTACTGAGGCTTCTGTCCTCACAGTGAAGACCATATACAGAGCTGGACAAGAGCCTCTCCATGGTTTATAATTGAGGGTGACATTAGAAGTCTAACAGAAGAGATTGTCCCCCATCCTCTGCGGTACATGACTGACAACTGGTCGGATAAGCATCTGCAGTTTATCTTGGCAGAATCCTGGCCATGTTGGCTAAGAGGGTTAGCCATATGAGATTAAACTACATTTCCACTGAAAATGAAATGGAAATTTTCATTCTAAAATACATCTTTGTAGACTGGGGATCTCTAACTTTGATTTCTTTGGTGATAGGTAGTTCTGGTTAGTTCTTAGATGCATCCCCTTGGCTATATTTCTGATCACCTGAATAGGCAAGGTTAGTGTGCGCGTTCCTCCAACTGCTTGCTGGTCCACCGGACTGCATGGTAGAGGCACATGGCAGAAACAATCATGATGTCCTACCTGCAGATGACAACTTTTTTCCACCATCTACTATGTCTTTCCATGTGGAGTCCCACAAACTACCTCTGCCCCAGTTTGTTCCTCATGTACTTATGTCTCCTTTTAAAGCTCTATCATGTGTCTGAGGTTGCCTGCTGACACTGAAAAGGTGAGAGCGCATTGCATCAGTGCTGTCACGTTGTGCTGGTTGCTGTATCACCTCTGGAGGTAGGAATTGTGTCAGGGTTCCTTCCTTCTCCCACTTTCAGATTCCATATCCACATTCAGAATTTTTCCTTCCACCAGTTCAGTTACATCTTGCATTAACATCCCGTTTGAGACAACCTTTGTAATTTAATGGCTGATGAAACTGGTCTTTCTGGAAGAGTGGGAGAGATTTAGGAGCAGGTGGAAGATCCTTCCCTCTGCTTTCTTCTGGGATAATCCCATGTTTTGGGGTGACTCTCGATGCATTCCTGGATTGGTGACTGAATTTTATTTAGATCAGTCTGATAACTGCTAACTTAGACAGCAGAATATCCAGAACTGTGACTGCCTTTCAACATGCTGATCGTCAGATAGAATTTGTTCTGTGATTTTGTCAGAAGAAGACTAGTTAGTGGGACTTTGAAACTATTGACATACAGGGCTGAGAGGTGGCTATTCTCTGTGTGGAGACTGTTAACGTGGCTAAGTGCCTCAGCGGGGCTTTGTTACAAAACCACACCACTAACTGTGGTTCTCAAGAAAGATGCCTATGCCTCAGTTAGTGTTGCTCGTATCTAGGGATATTCTGATAGCTGTGACCACTAACTGTGGTTCTCAGGAAAGATGCCTATGCCTCAGTTAGTCTTGCTCGTATCTAGGGATATTCTGATAGCTGTCTGGTTGCATTTGTTCCTACGCTTTCTGTGATCTCCTTTATTCTTTCATTAGTTTTAGTAAAATCGGGACCAAGTAATATGTGCCTTAATCCATTTATTTCTTTGCTTCTCCACTTCTGTATAGCCAACTTGTCATTCTTCAGATTGCCCTAGCCTTCTCCAGTTTAGAAGTGCTGCCAGCCCTCTATGTATATTTAGTTTTTCTCTGGAATAGATCCATCATTAATGGTCCTGCGTTCCTCTGCCTTGTGCCTGCTGTGACTCTCCAAAGCCCCAGTCTGCTCTGTTCAGTGGCTTTGTATTCTTTGTGAGCAGACTCTTAAAGAGTTAGGTTATTTTAAAAATTCCATCTGTCAAGATGATAGTTTAATGTTCTTGTCAGCATGAAAAATTGGTGATATTTCTGTTTCCCGGTTATTTTAATGGCTTTTACCATGTATTTTTTCTTGGGAAACAGCTCACCATATTTTTCTGTCCTCTACCTATATCTTTCTCTGGTTAGTCCTGAGGAATAGGTTCTGACAGAACACAATTGTATTTGTCTCTTCCCTTAGTTCTTGGAATTGCTCCTGTTAATAATACTTTTTTTTTTTCTATTAGTGACCTTTTTGTTCTTGGGCTTGTAAGAAAAAAGGTCCTCTTAGAGTAGGATTAAATGGAATATGATTTTTTACAACATACTTCACTTTCATAGCATATTTGCAAATGCCAGACTAGTTCTTTCAAAAGTGTATTGATTTTTGTTGGAATAGCTGGACTAGGGGCTAAAAAGAAATAAAAAAAAAAAAAAGAATACAACATAGAAAATTTCAGAAAATCATGCACCTGAAATAAAAGCCTGTGTTCATCATTATGTCAAAAATGGAACTGCTGGTCCTTCCTATCTTACAGCAAGTAGTTTTATTTTAAGCTTATAGCTTTCCAAAGTTTCATGGCACAATATTGGGATTCTAGGTTCAAGATAGAGAAAATAATGAGTTCCAAAAGAGTCACCTGTCTGATACAGACAACACTCATAAGTCGACTCTGGAAATCCCAGACAGGAAGGAGAAAGAAGAGCATACAAAAAGCTCACAGGTACAACAAGAAACTTAACATGCACTGTGCTTCAAAGGTGGAAAATTTCACACTCTGCGAATGCTGTGCACTTTTTTATTTCTCAAAAAATGGTTTTGCAAAGTTCGTTACACTGCACTAGGAAATGATTGTGCTGCACTGGAAAAATGCAGTTGCACTATTGTTAGCTTCAAGTTGTATGTACATCACTAGTGTTATGTAAGAAATACCATTCACTGCATGTGAAAGTAATTTAAAGTCTTGAATATTATTACACGGTGTAAGAATCGGTATGTAGCTATATTTGCTTAAATGTTAATTAAATGGGCTGTGAAGATGCCGGTTCTTTGCTGTTTTGGTATGGTACTACCTCCAGTAGAACACCAAATGCAGAAGGATTATATTAACATAATGAATATCTGTTGTGTGAATATAATTATACTCTTCAAGGATAAATCACATGGCAAATGCTTCTACAAATCTGTTTCTGCTGTTACTACAAAAAGTAGTTAATGGATAGTAAATCTCAGAAAGTTTTCTCCTTATGAGTAAAAGCAGATAAATTTTTTAAATACTGTAGCATTTTACATTTTAATAATGTGGGTTTTGTTTTGGTACTCCATTTAAAATTGTTTCTCTAAATATGACATCTCTTTCCTTTATTGACTTCACTATGCAAAATCACTGGAGTACCTTTAACAACAAAATGTCAGGGTACAGAGATCCTCATAGTGTCTTCACTAGTGTAAGTTTCCTCCTAAATATATTTCTCGTAACCATTTCCTTCCTTATTTATACTACTAATTATTGCTTTTCTCCTAATATCTCTCCAAAACTTCCTCTTTTTTACTATATAGTCTCCTTCTCCAACTTCCATCCTCTACAAAATCACAGCTCACCCTCGTGCTTCCGAGATGATGCATGTTTCTCGTACCCCTCCCCACAAGGATCTTGACTGGCATTGGCACGACTTTCCAGTATTGCCATGCCCGTCTCCATCAGTTCCCTTTCCATTCCATTTCCCTGAGCCCATGCACCAACACTGACAAAGCGGGTTTCCCACATTGCTCGTTCCTCTGTCTCGCTTTCCTTACGTCCCCTCCTGAGGTTACCAGTGTCATTCCTCCAGTAAGTGTCATCCCTGCCCTGTCTCCCCAAGACACCTATCTTCAGGTCAGCATCTTTGGCATTCAAGAAATGCCACGGATTTCCTGTTTGTGTCCACATTCCCTTCTAGATATCCTATGAGCCTAATGTAATTGTCCTAATTTAAAATACCTCTTTCTAAGACTACATCTCACATTCTTTCCACTTTTTAACTCTTTGGAGTTTTTTTTTCAGTATATATCCTATTGCCAGGTAGAACAGCAAAAGAGTTGTGCAGAGCAGTCTTTGAAGGTCAAGATTTGCTGAACTCTCAGTGACAACTTTATGAAATCTGAATCGTTTTAATTTAGGAAAAAAACTCTTTAGAGACAAAGTCATTTTAATTAAATACAGCTATAGGGACAGTTGAATCTACGGAAGGACTTGTGACACAAATAAGTGAATGAGGAATACTTACTCCTGAAATAAGAAGTAATTGTGTATTCTAAATTTTTATTTCTACTGGCAGCTTGCATTTTTGTGACCTTTACTTCATCAAAAATGTTTACACAGCCTTTATGTATCTTGCAAGTTCCATCTGTTTTGTCCACATTTTAGAATGAACACATCACCATAATTTTTTACACGTATTTATGTAGGACTAATTAGAATTTTCAGCTGACAAAGCAGCATGATTAGACACTACCCGTATGGTGGGGTTTTGGTGTGTTGTCACATTCATGAAAAGAAGGCTGTGAAATGTTTGTTCATTGCAGTTTGAAGTGGATTCCGTTTCCGATGTTTACTCCATATTATTATATTTCTCAGGATGCCTTTGGACATCCTGCCAGTGAGATGAGGATAGGGGAACTTCGTCCTTCCATGCCAGAGACTCCGTTGTACCCACCCAAACTTGTTCTTCTGGGTAAAGAGAAGAAAGGTACTAACTTGACGTACAGTCTTTTAGATGAAAGCACATGTAATGTACACAGACAGACATGCTACTTAAAATGTTCTGCACTTCAGTCTGATTTTAAAATACATTATATGCATATTTGTGCACATATGTCTCTCTCTCTCCATAGTATCCATTTAAAAATGTATTTTTCTGGAGTTTAGTTTTCAAATACCACCTCCTAAAAACATTTGCTGTGTTTTGTTTCAGAATCGACAGATGAGTCTGAAGCAGATAAGATCCATTGTCTGAATAACAGCGTTTCCTCAGGCACTTACTCAGACTATTCCCCTTCTCAGGCTTCCTCAGGATCCTCCAACGCGCATGTTAAAATGGGGTCCTTGCAGACAACGGCTAAAGAAGCAGTGAATAACTCTTTGTGGGCAAACAGGTGTGATCATCTTTCTTAACACAGCTTCTGGCTGTCTTTCGTCTTACGTTGTCATATGCATTCAAAGTGATCGTATGTTATCTGTTAAGGCATTCAATTAAAAAAATACAACATTTTTACCTCAATTTTGGAGAGGTGTACATAGCTATGTGAAGCCCAGGCTGTGCGGAGTTGGCCACTCATTCATACTCTACAAATGTCAGTAATTCTACAGCTGGTTTTTCAACTATGTTCTATAACCATGCATTTAAAACCACCTAGCAATTGAGCTGCAATTATTCTGCTCTGTGTGGTCCTGAGCTGCAGCTGGCTGTAGTTTAGCATAGATAGCAGAGTCTGTGTCTCTCATATTATTGGTGTCCTGAGCCTCACTCTGCCCTGGACCTCCAAGAACGTCACAGTTTTTTGAAAGTTTGTAATTTGCACTGGCCATCAGCAACCTGAAAACACTCTTGTACCGTTCCAGGATCACCCTGCCCTGTGTTCCTGCCATAAATCACCTAGTGTAGTTCCATCCTAAACGAAACTCCATCCACAGGCTCTTCCCCATTAAAGAGAGGCTGGAGCCTGCTCACTGGAGATGCATAAAATCTTGGTGGTGAGAACATGCATAAGCTGAACTGGTATTTTTGTTTAAGAAGGAATAATGTAAGTGCAAAAAAAATCTTCCCCTGCACTGATAGAAGATTATTTTTAAAGCAGGAAAATATCTTCATCTGGACTTATATGAACATGGCATTGAGCCACCCGGGACTTTTGACTGACTTCTTAGTTTCTCTGTGTATGTACTTACAGAATCTGTTCTCCAGTGCAAAAAACTGCTGCAGCCATTCATGCCAAACCAGTGGCACAAGGTGCACATCTCATAGTACGATCCCACAGCCAGAGTATAGATGGGAGAATATTAAGTTGCTTTATAATTGCGTCTTTCTGATAGCTGCTTATACACTCTAATAGAGGGCATTTTATCTTGTTTCGTTTTGTTGTTTGTTTTTTTTTTTGCAGGCTGGCACAGTCATTTCCACAGCCCCTTGAAACAAAGCCATTGCTGAGCCAGCGGGAATCCGCTCCGGTGGGGAACCTGCCGCAGCGCACCGACAGGCGCCCACTGAGCGACACCTTCGCCGACAGCTGGAACGACAGCTCGCACTACGACAACACGGGGTTCGTTGCAGAGGAGAGCACGGTGGAGAATCCTAGTGCTAACCCCCTCCTGAGCACGAAATCTAGAAGCACATCTGCGCACGGACGCAGGCCGTTGATTAGGCAAGACAGGATAGTTGGCATTCCCCTGGAGCTAGAGCAGCCGACGCTCAGAAACACACACGAATCTGAAGTGCCTCCTCCCAACCCTTGGCAAAATTGGACCAGAACCCCTAGTCCTTTTGAAGACAGGACAGCTTTTCCTTCCAAACTGGAAAGCACCCCCACCAGCAGCCCTTTGCCTGAGCGGAAAGATCATGTCAAAGAGTCTCCTGAAATGACTAGCTCTTTCACTCCAGGAATAGCGTGGGAGTATCACGATTCAAATGCTAACAGAAGTCTCACAAATGTCTTTTCCCATCTCCACTGCCGCCCAGATCCTTCCAAAAGCGTTATTTCGATCAGCAAGAGTACAGAACGGCTTTCTCCGATGCTGAGGGACTTAAAAACTAACAAATTTAAGAAGTCGCAAAGTATCGATGAAATAGACATTGGTACATACAAAGTGTATAATATACCCTTAGAAAACTATGCATCTGGTAATGATACTGTAGGAACCCACGAGAGGGTGGACAAGCTCCTGGGCCCGGAGCACGGCATGCTGAGCATGTCCCGCAGCCAATCGGTCCCCATGCTGGATGACGAGCTGCTCACCTATGGCAGTGTCAAGGTGCAGCCGCAGCAGAAGTCGTCCGTCACGAAGAAAGTCTACCAGTTCGACCAAAGCTTCAACCCGCAGGGAGCAGTGGAGGTCACAGCGGAGAAGAGGCTACCGCCACCTTTCCAGCTCAACCCTGAGTACATTCCCCAGCAGAGTAAAAACCTGCCCCAGGATCTAGTCAGCCCAAGGGCGTACCGTGGCTACCCCCCCGTGGAGCACATGTTCTCCTTCTCCCAGCCTTCAGTGAACGAGGAGGCGGTCGGTGCGCCCTTTGCGAGCCAGGGGTCTCGGCCAGGGTTCTTGAGGAGAGCGGATTCGTTGGCCAGCTCCACCGAGATGTCCATGTTCAGGAGAGTCAGTGAGCCCCATGAGCTGCCCCCCAGCGATAGGTATGGCAGGCCTCCGTACCGAGGAGCTGTGGAGCGCCAAAGCAGTATCTCGGTCTCTGAGTCTCAGTTCCTCAAGAGGAACGGCAGGTACGAAGACGAGCATCCTTCCTACCAAGAAGTGAAAGCCCAGACTGGAAACTTTCCAGTTAAAAACCTTACACAAAGGAGGCCGTTGTCTGCAAGAAGCTACAGTACAGAGAGTTATGGCACGTCCCAAACCAGGCCAGTTTCAGCGAGGCCTACAATGGCAGCTCTGCTGGAAAAGATACCGTCAGACTATAACTTGGGTAACTATGGCGACAAGCCTTCCGATAACAGTGATATAAAGACAAGGCCTACCCCTGTGAAGGGAAATGAGAGCTGTGCTAAAATGCCTGCTGACTGGAGACAACAGCTACTTAGACATATAGAAGCTAGAAGGTTAGACAGGGTATGTTTGGCATTTCTCTGCAATTAATGCCTTTAGTTGTGTGTTTCGGTATTTCAAACTATTTGCACGTACAGTGGTAACCACCAGAATTCCCAGTAATGAAATTCTTGCACTGGTGTCAGAGGAACCGGCCCGCAAAGGGGGCTGCTCAAAAGCAGCTGGAGTGAGGGATTCCCGGGTAAACGAGTGATAAAGAGTCTCTGCATGAGTTAATGCACCACAGTGCACGTTACTAATACAGTTACTGCTGCAGCAGTGTCTGAACTGATAAACACAAAAGTCTCTCCTTATCAACAGATGGGAACGTGCTGCTGAAGTCCACCACTTCAGTAATGATTTGAGAGCTTTAAAAGATGCTGGATACATCTTTGCAGTAAAAGGAAATAAAGAAAAACATCACAGATCAAAAGTAAAATAATGTATTTTAGCTTTCATGTCACTGTTAGCAGAGGGGATTTAAAGGTATCTCTTAACTCTGAAAAATATCTCTGCCACTTTTTAACAAGGAATATAATTATTACTCCTTTTAGCAGTAGGAAGTTATGCTTATTTACCTTCTAAACAAAAGAGTACAAGTACTATAGAGCATGATTTTGATAATGATCTTGACTATTTAATGACCTACTTCATGAATTGAATTTATTTCATAATCTGAAGTGGTTGTCATCAAATGCATAAGTTAGTTTGACAATGTGTCCCTATACCTATTTTACGCTAGATACTCGTGAGTTCGGTGTTAATATATTCATTACCTTCCAGTTGCTCGGATGTGATGCATATTAAAGTATCATTAAGGATCAAATGGGTAAACTTTAAAAACTGGGTTGAAGGCTGAAGCTTTTTCCTTACTTCAGCTATTTTCCTTGTGTTGTATAAAACTGATTGGAAAATACATCATACCTAGGCAAAGTAGTGCAGCCCAAGTAGAGACGTTTCTGGTGGAAATAAACACTTCACAGGTGTTGTTTCAGAAATGTCTTTACACTTAGTTTATGATATGTATTTGCTTAAGAAATACTTTATCTCGTGGAAAGCTGACACTGGTGATTTTATCTAATTAAATTGAGCTCACAGTAGTCCCTGCAGGTGCCAGCGAGCTAGTTTCTAGTTGTTTGCAGCATACGATAACCAAAGCTCTAAGAAGCTGGGCTGTCTGGTGGAGATTTTGCAGATGAGAACTCCTGGGCACCGTCATGCAGCAGCTGCTCCGGGACAAGTCGTTGCCCACCTGCCCACGGCCCGCGAGGTGCCGGCCGGTGCAGGCCCTGCGTACCTGCTGTGCTGGGCCCAAGCAAAGCTTGTCCCTTGTGGGCAGCTGCTAGCCAGGGAGCAGTCGCAAAGCTCAGAAGATGGTGCAGGGCCCTCTTGCATAGGGTTTCTTCCTCTGCCTTTGATGCCCTTTTATGCTGGATATGTGTTTTCCGGCGCACCCATGGTTGTGCAGACTTACCAAAATTTGGCCGTATTTGCAAAATAAAGACTTGTACCATGTTATGTACTGCGATTTTCAAACTACAGATAACAACATATTTCATCTGCTGTCAGCGTTGAAGTCTTTTATGGTATCCATTTTATGTATAACTAGCAATGTATTTGCTTCTGTGTGACCCAGTGCATGCACCAAAAAGCTATTTATTTCTTGGTACTGTTTGTTTGCTTAAACTAAAACTTTGTGAAATTAACCATATATGTGTGATACTTAATTCGATGAGCATGTGTGTTCATATCCTGTCACGTGGTTGTTTCCTCTACTCAGACCGCTGCTTACAAACACAACACAGTTAGCCTTGGCATGCTGCACTCTGGAGGTTTTTCAGCAATGCATGCCGGCAGAAGCATGACTTTAAACTTGCAGACTAAATCTAAATTTGAAAACCAAATGCTTCAAGAGCTACCTCTACCGAAAGTAAGTATGGGATAGCCAGCATATACCAGCATTACAAAATAAATTAATAATAATCCTTGCTTTTTTCTGGTTTAGCTTTTGCCTATTATTCATGCTTATACTGTACACAATCCAAAAAGCAAAGATAATAGTAACAAAATTTTCCTACTCAAAATCTTGCTTTTTGGATTAAGGAGCTCACATGGCTGTCATTACTGCTTTCTGCTCTCGTGTTACAGACTGATGCAATCATTATATTTTCTCAATGACTTAATCTATGTACAGAAATGGAGAATGTGTTTAGTTTTGTGACTGTTTGATCTTAGAAAAAATAATGCAGAAAAGTTTAATATGTATTTAAATAGGCTCCAAGAGACAGGGATTTTAACATACGAACATTGGGTATGCTGTAAGAGTTGATGAGTTTTGAGTATATACCTACCACACCTAATTTTAAACTTTTGTTGAGTAATGCCTATAGAAAGAAAATAACTTTTTTACTGTTTATTTTACAGCTATTAGCGATATGTTGTTGATCAATACATACATACACAATCATATCCAAACAAACGTTTGATGGGAAAAGCACATACGACAAGCCAGAGAGGGACATTGCTGAAATTTTTTCAGAGTACCGGAGAGGAGGTGCTGAGACCTTACTCTGCGTCACGTCTGGCCACGCCGCAGTCACCGCAGCAGCCAGCTGCAGACACTTGCAAGCGGCGGCACTGTTGGGATTGTGCGTTGTGGCAGAGGGCTGCTGCGGTGCTGGAAGTGCCCAGCATCGTGAAGTGTCTTACTGCATTAGCATGAGTAGCTGTTGGTACAAATTAGCTACATCTCTGTAATTAAAGGGTAACAGAGCACAGATCCAGGCACTGAAATGCGATCATCTGCACTGTTAATTGCTGGCCTGGCCTCAGGCGTGGTTTGGCCCAGGCCAGCTGGCACCCTCCCAGGCAATCCCTGGCCGGGGCTCCAGAGTCAGCACTGGCCAGAAATTCCCAAAGGAGGATTCCAGTGCCCAATTTAAGAGTTTAGATCCAAGCCTGTTCAGAAAAATAAGATAATTTAATGGCAGCAACATGACCAGATTGTGCTGGTTGGCTGACGACAGGCCTTAGCACTGCTTAGCTTACTAATACAGGCATGTGCATTGTACCCTGGATCTCCAAGCAAAGCTGCGATAGGTTAACAGTGTTAATATATCACCAAGAGAGAGGTTAATGCACACGCACACACACAGGTCATTGTCAGGTTTCTCCTGCTGTAACTTACTTTCCGAACACTGTTAACTTCATTTACACCTCCCGTTCAGCTGTCCCTGGATTTAAACAAGTGTTAGTGTTAGTGTGTGCTTCTCTGTTGTTCAGTTAATGACATCTAGGTCAAATCCTAACCATAGATGTGTGTGTGTTTGGACACAGACAGCTTTCCGGTGTTGGTCATACTGTTTTTTTCTTTCAAAAAATTTGTTTGTCTGTTTGGGCATAATCCTTGTCACAAGTCCTTGAAAGAAGTCCATTTGACATCAACTCCAAATAATGGTGCTATTTCTCTACACACATTTAGGAGTAAGGTATTATATATCACTTTAATAATTTTAGGCTGTAGATGAATATGGATATTGATATATGGATGTCTGAGGAAATTCATGAAACTGTTTAGGGTGACATGTTTTGGGGTGTGGTCTTATATGAATTATTCTGCTTTATATTCCACCAGCATTTCATTGCTCCATGCCCATATGAAATGTGATGCTGAACTGCATGAAGGGGGTGTGTTCTCTTACTGTACTGTTTGGAAAGCTGTGAAAAATTATTGTTGAACAAATGATTTGAATGCTTACTATTGTTTAATTTTATTCCTTCACATGTTGTAGAGGATTTTGCATTTCTTAATGAATCCAGGCCACAGCAGCTTAATATTTAGCTCTTCTGCTTCCTCTTTCTTGTGGCCTAGATTCAAGAGAGTAATGAGTGAGGTCTAATTGTCCAGTGGAAGATCAGGAAATCAAGTATAGCAATTACTTATTTTGAGAAAGTTTATTACGTCAATTCTACTCCATGTATAGAATGTTTGAACTGCTGCTTTTCATTTTTTACCTAGACTTAACAGATCTGTAGTTTGTTTGCAGTCTGTCTGAGCTCCGTAAATGAGTAATATTGCAAGTAGACAAATCCATTCTACTGCAGAAAATGAAAAGAAAAACCTGTTATCACAGATTTTTCCTACTTATTGAGAAGGCAGAAAGAACCCTTCATACTTTTTCCATTTTGAGTGCAAACTCTACAGATTAGTCAGTCACTTATACAAACAGCACAGCATTGTCGGCAGTGACAAAAGAAACACTTTTCAGAAGAACGCTTTCAATTTTTGGCATCCATCTCCCAATTCTTTCAGTGGTGCTTGCTGCACTTCATTCTTGGAAGTGTACAGTACCACCTCCCTGTAGGAGTAATCGGCGTTTTCACTTAGGAGGAAAAAAAGAAGTCGCCTTAGGAAGCTGCCTCACTAATCCTCTCTGTCTCTGCATGGGGAGGGCACGTAGCATGTGGTATAAATCCATCTGACAGGGAGGTGGGCAGGTTTCCAGCACGGCCTTGGGCACCTCGGTCTGCGGGTGACTCTGGAAGGGAGGACTCGCATCACAAAGATGATGGGTGGCCTTTCTTTTCATTGTTTTTTGCTACTGCTCAGAGCAGAAATTTTTGCAATTGTACTTTTTCATTTTAGAAGCTGTTTGGTGCCCTGGTCTCGGATCATGTAACCCCCATTTGGACTGCGGGTTACGTGGCGACGTGCAGCAAATAGGGCAGAATGGCCGATTCATGAGTTTACGTAGGCACAAAGAGCCCTACCAGGGCCCAAACTGGGACCCAGATTCTGACCGGTGGACAAACGGGGCTCCGTGTGTCCCGGAGGGTAACCCCTGGCAGCGTGTCCAGGCAGGCTGCGCGCGGTCCTGGAGGCCTGTCCGGACACAACGCTTCAGCTGCGTCTGAGGGACTTAGGGCCATATCGTCAGGTTTCATGCGTGCCCGTACACCAGCGCACGGCTCTGGGCTCAGATTCGCAGCGTTGGAGGGTGTTGTGCTGTCTGAGAGCGCAGCAGCACTGCTGCATCAGGCACTGGGACCAGTGTCTGCTGAGCTGTGAGGGTAACCTATGGAAAAAGTGCTGAGGTTGGTCTCATTTTTCCATTTTTAGTATGTGTAAAGAAACCTCTATAGCGGGGTCTTGTAGTTTCAGCAGAGGAAGTGTTTTTCTAGTGGTTCTTAATACACAAAAAATCACGTTTCCTGATTTTTCCGGAAGACTTCTTGAATGATGAGAGAATTATAATGAAAGTTTTCTTTAATTTTAAATAATTAGGGTTGATTTTTTTTTTGCTTAACCTCTGAGGAGTATGATTAAAATCACAATTTACTTCTATTTACTTTTCAAAGATTTTTAAGCTTGCATAAAAAACATCCTTGATTGACCAGTTACCAGCTTTAATATTTCGAAGCAATAGTTTCATTTGTTCTTCAGTCATCTAAAAAAGTGTTTAACGATTTTTTTTAAATCTAAGCTGAAGACAAAATTGCTTGAATGAGAGAGGAAGAACAGACTTTTTTTCTTTGGAGATTACCATTAATCAGAACTGAATAAGCAGTTAACTGAATAAGCACGACATAATGCTAAGTGCTGTCAGTGGTAGTACAGTGTTGGCATTTTGGAAAGTCTGACACAAAAAGCCATACCCGTGTTAGCTAAATTTCCATCTATGGTAAAGAAAGAGAGACAGATAACAGAAAATCAGGATGGGACAGAAAAAGTATGCATGTCCTCAAAAGTACTGAAAACAGGAGTAGAATAACCAGGGGGAAAAGTGACAAAGAAGGAACGTGTATAAAAGGAGAGAAAAGTGGAAAATAACAACTAAAGTATCAAGCTCTTTAGGAAACTTTAAATGTGTGTTATGTCCATTCATATTCATGAAAGCATTTAATTACTGGTTAATAGGGTACATATGATACCCTGTTAACTTAGAGCAAAACCAGACATAGCCTAGAGAGAGGTCTGTGAGACGCACGCCACACACAGTGGTACACAGAGCATAGCGTGAGGTAACGGTAGCCACAGGTTCAATATTGCCTTTCAGGAATATTTTCGGAAGAAAATATAAGCATATAATTAAATCTTGGTGGCAAGTACTTAATAAAAAAGTTTTTGACGCATGAATGACCAGTAAGAAAGTTTTAACTCAAATGATTAATGGCAGACTGCACGTTTAAATATAGATCTTTGCCAAAATTTGTTTCTCTGAAAATAATGAGTTACGTTAAATTAATTTACTCTTTTCTCTCATCATTCATTATTCTCATTATTTCTCTCGTATATCTTTCAAGCTCTCCTGCTTGCAGAGAGTGCCACAGCAATATGATTACACATTAAAGAAATACCGTAGAAATGTAAAAGGATTTCCATTTTAGCAGTAGTCTGTTACAGCTTAACTGGGTTGATGACTGAAATAAGTATGAAGAGAGAACTTTCTGTCATGGTGTGACAGTGACTAAAGGCTGCCCTACCATTTCTGCAACAGACCCCGTCGCAGCAGAGCAGCATTCTGGACAACGGGCAGGAGGAGGTGTCTGTGAGCAGCCAGTGGAACCCCTACCCGCTGGGGCGGCGGGACGTGCCGCCGGACACCGTCACGAAGAAGGTAAGCGGCACGAGCCAAGCAGCTGACATAGCTGTGGTCGTCATCTTTTCCCAGCGAGTCAGTGGAAGAAGAACAGGTTAATGAGGACAGGTTTGGGAAGCACATGTTTTTGTATTAAAGTTTAAAGCGGTAATCATTATGAATTAAGGATGGTGTTTTCATGCCTGCTGCCTGGTTTTGTATTTATGCAGATGCTGGTAGTTACGTCTCTAGTGTGTGAAATGGGCACAGTGGGCTTGGCAGGTGTATTCCTGCACGTATCAGACAGCCATCAGCTCCCTCTTGTCCTGAAAAGTCTTCATTCAATTCACATTTTTCATTTCAGTTACATTCTTCAGTTCATGACAAAAAATAAATGTGTTGAGATGGAGGCCAGCCCAGTGTCTGGACAGTCACAGACGTTTTGGCAGAGACATCCTAGGCACACCTCATTTGCTGATAAACTTACTAGAAAGGGTTCTAATTTCTAGTGCCTTGTGGCCGTAGGTACTAAATTCCAGTACTCGGATCTGGCCTGTTTCAATGAAAACACTGGCTGCTCTTTCCCAGCCCCAACTTGGCTCTGCTCATCAGCTGAGAAACTGCCATTTTTAGATGACCTAATCATGAAGCTGGAGAATGGAGCATCTTGACAAACTAAACTGTGTTTGCAATCAGCTTTAGAGGATGGAGCCACATATTTCAGCAGTGATAATGACACTGATTGTTATCTATATGGAGATTGGTCCTGCTCAATCCTGAAGTAAAGTCTTACGAGTGATAAAACTGGTGTCAAAGTCATAATGTGCACACTGATAACTTCTGTAGCATAATTAACTACCGGCATTGATGAGGCAAATATCTCCCTACCGGCTTCACATCTTTTTATCCAAGACAGCCTTCATACAAAAGCAGCGACAAGAGATACACATGTACAAGAGAATTGCTTGAAGATGGGAGACGAAAGCCATAGCACCTAGAGCAGCCCAGACACCCCTTCCCAGGCACACGAGAGTGAGGAGGAAGGCTCCCTGACATTGTTTGATGGAGTTGGCTCTGACAGCCAAGTTATTCGCAGGGTTTCTTTATCCTCTGGTATGCAAGAAACTGGGATAAGACATTTAAGGGGAGTTACTGCTTATCTTCACTGGCGTATAGGGATAAAACCTGTGTTTATCCATTCACGTAATCTAATACAGTCTATGACTTGCATTTGTGCATCATCAGTGTTACTATAATAAGAAACTGCAGATTCTGTTTCGTTCTGAGTATTTCAGTATCTCACTGCTCAGATGTGGTAAGTACAAACATTGCATAACCGTACTGAATTCTGCTTAATTTAGTGGAGCAATCCATTGTTACATCTGTTGTCAGCTACTTTAATTATACTGTAAATATTGGACAGTGAGCTGAAAATAATTAACTTTTGTGGTGGATGGTAAATAAAGTAGAGAATACAGATGAAACAGATGAAATTGGGGAAGCAGTCTGCATAATAGAGATTTTTTTTTCTGCAGAATAAATAATTCCCATTTCCAAGAAAGACAGCTTATCCGCCCCCAGCAAGAGCCACAGTGTGAATACACAAGAAGTCGTGATATGATCTCTTCAAAGTCTATTAACAGGAGTGAGAAAATGAATTCTGAAAACCGTTTACCCACCATCCTCAGGAGGTGGTTTGCAACGTGCTGTTAAGACAATCTCTTCTCCGCTGAAAGTGACCTCGAGTGTCTTGGTTTCCCAGCATCTGGGGACTAAAAAGCAGCAGTTACTTGAAGTCAGACTCAGAAAATCTTCTATGAAGTTCAGCATAACAAACAATTAAATGATGTAAATATAAATCAGAGTATATGTTGTGCTTTTCCAGCAACATAACAGTACTAGTGTGAATGGGCTCGTGCAGAACAGTCACTACATGGTAGAGCTGTACTTGGGAGATCACTGGAAGAAAAGCCAGGACTTGTTCTTCCAAGGGGAAGAGCATGTACTATAGACAGATGGACTATGTACTCAGGCTGATGTAGTACATACAGACACAGTAACGTGTTCCTAAATTATCCACACATACATGTAGTGACGGCTATTTATGTTAGGTAGGGTGAGAATCACTACATAATTATGTGGGGTGTGAGTGGTTGTTTCTGTCCTTTTTGCTGTTCAGAATACAGATTAAATGCTAGTTTTATTTCAAATATGATCATTTATGTGGTCACCCCATAATTTATGGGCTATTTCTCTTATGGCAAAGTTGGATATTTTAGTCTTGAAATTGAATAATTCACTGATTTATTAAAAGAGTACAATATTTATGCATCCTGGAAGATGACTTTTTCTGTCATGTCAACAAGTCAGCTACATTCCTCATTAAATCAGTTGTAGTCTGAGTTAGCTGCTCCTGCATAAAAAGGGAAGGGGTAGAAGTATGGCGGGGGTTCACCAAAACGGAGCCTGGAAATCACTCTTTATGAAAAAGAGAGGTTGAAAAGTGAGAATGAAGATGGAAAATGAACAAACATCAGGCCAGCCAACCTGGGTGCAGGGATGAGCTACACAGATCTGGGAATGCGTAGGACTGTGTTAGTTGGCCTCTTCTGCAGCTGCTGTGGGGTCACAGCAGCCCGCAGGAAGGTTGAAGCCATGCAAAACTCTTGGAGACTCCTGCATGGGCCGGAATGGTGTTGGTGGATGTGGAAGGAGTATGTGCTATGGAACTGGAGCAAGGCAGCTGCCTCAAAACTGGGACATACAAGTGTCTGAGTCACCATTTCTCTCCCTTTCTGACTTGGGAGTATTTCTGTTAGCCACGACTGAGAGCATGGAGGCTCCTTCTGTTCCATTTCCCCAGCATCTGCTGTTCAATACAGATGTTGTTTGACCTAATAAAGAAGATTTGAGGTTTTTCAATGAAGCACAATTTTTTTTTTTTTTTTGTATTTGAAATAGACTTCTTCCTCTGAGGCAGACGGTGCACCTGCTGTGGACTGCTGTGGTGGGTATGGGATTATGTCTGCGGCAAATAGCAGAATTTATGAGATTCTGCTTTTTGGGATCCTCTTGTGATGTGTAGGACACAACGTGAAGTACAGAACTGTCCTGCACACGGTCACCTGCTCACCTTGCCTCTCCATGGTGCAGGGTGACACGGATTCAGCAATCCATTGCAGGCACGGCTTGTTGCCAATAGACAGTTAATGAATAGCTAAAAAGTCCGTCTTGAGCATTTTCTTCCCTTCTCATTTTGGTTGAATTGAAGATCTCTCTGACCTGTAAAATGGAGTGATTGCAGTACAGACTGACTTCACCAGGCTGTCCTTGGAGTGAGTTTGTCCATGTCTATTAAGCACTTTCATGTACACAGGTGAGCTGTGTTTTAAGAAGAGTCTGAGGATGGAAGATTTGGGCACGAGGAGTAAGTCTATCATTACTCACTTTGAGACTGTCCCTCTTGTACTAAAATGAAGAACTGTCAGGCATGTTTCTACCTAGTCCCTTTCTTCAAATGTCATCAGCAAAAAAGTAAGACAGAGCAGATGAGTTTTGCCCACAGTCTCTGCTGTCTTGCTGGGATTCTCTGTTCAGTGACACGAGTAGCTCCAACCGTATCTGTATTAATGACGTGTTCTGCAGACAAATCTTGGAAATACATTAAGATGTATTTTTACTATGGCAACAAGCAATTAATTCTAATGCCCTGGCTGCTATAACTTCCAAGGCCAGGTGACTGGCCGATGGGGAAGAAATGTTTTGATCTTTTGCTGTATTAAATTTAATCTTGTCTTTAGACAAGACTTTAGACAAGACTTTACAGTCTCACAATTGGTGACTCTTCTACCCAGGACCATACAGGTTCAGTAATACTGAGGATTAGACCTTTGTGATGAGACGTGATGGTGGTGTTGGCTGGTGTAAACTTAATGTGAAACACCATTTAAGTAGGTCTGTTTTGTCCATAGAAACTTGGAGATACTGAGACATGCAATCATAATGCTCTTTCACATTCAGGCTGTTCAAATAATAGCACTGGTAGATGCGTCCATATAATCTAAAAACTCAATAGCAATGGTGTGCTATTTCATGGAGGTAGTAGTATTTGATCCTACGATGGAGCATGAATTTTCCTAATTCTCTTAGGCCTAAGTTACATGTGATTATTTATAAGCAACAGCATCTGAATCCTGTAAATACGAAAAGTATAAAATTGTCTCAACTGAATTTATTTTGCAAAGACTTGCCTCAAATATTTATGTATTTCATGTGCATAAATAGAGACTCTGTATTGCAGAGTAAGCAAGTACGCAACTTTACCATGTCAAGAACAGAATACAGAAAGCAAACCTCACCTGCTAGATAGAGCTGCAAACATGAAAGGCAAGGGGCATGGAGCGGACAGAAGAACGGTAGCAGTCATCCATTTTTTTCTGAGAGTATCAAAAGGCCAAGGCAATGTAAATGCAGTATTTCACATATATTCACAAAATATTAGAGCTTCAAATCAGTAGATATGATCAGAGAAATTTGATAATTTGATTAGTTACATTTTGTAAAAGCCACATTTGTTACTAGGACCAGGCATAGGATTTAATTGATTATGCTTTCCATACAGCGGACAATACTGGCCAACATCTGTATTTGTGTTAGAAATCAGAAAAAAACCCACAACGTTCCAATATCTTCAGAGTGTGCTGTGATGAATAATCCACCCTACTTCAATTTATTAAATATTTTCAGTTCACAAAACGTTTTGAGCAGAAGCATATATCGTGACATGCGAAAAAAAGTATTTTCTGTTTATGAAACATACTGTTTTACGGCTGATTTCCCTTAAACCTCCTAGGGTCACTGAATGCAATGGGTGTATCCTTGCTGCTTTTAATCACGGTTTTTTCCAACTGTGGTCAAAAGGCAAACCTCTGGTATGATTTAAGAGGTTTGCTTTTACTTGACTCTGTAAGTTGTAATAATTGCTTCTTTTCAGCTTCCTGAATTTCTGGCCTAACGGGTTACGTTACCCACAGGCAGGTAGCCATATCCAGACTTTAATGGGATCACAAAGCCTACAGCATCGGAGCCGCGAGCAGCAGTATGAAGGGAACATGAACAAAGTCACCATTCAGCAGTTTCAGCCACCGCTGCCTATTCAGATTCCCTCTTCGCAGAGCTCTCGAGCACCTCAGACAGGGCGGTGTTTAATCCAGACCAAGGGTCAGAGAAGTACGGATGCGTATCAGGAGCAGGTGAGGAAGCGTGTCTATAACATAACACTTGGACAAAAGCTTTCTGGTTTTTTCCTGCCCCGTATGCAGCAGGAGAAGGGAGCTAGGGCACTAACACTGGGCAGCTGAGCCAGGCAGCATGGCGGGGTACGGCTGAGCTGGAGGCGGGCGAGCGGCTCTGTCGTCTTCCCCAGCACCAGGGACTGATGCCATTTTTTTCTTGGATTGGCCAAGCGACAGGATTTGGCATTGAAGCTCCTGAGCTGAGCTGACATCACTGGGTCCGACCGAATTAATTTGCGATTTCTGCCAATTCCCCAGCGACCCAGCTCAGTGCTAGCAGTGCAGCGCATTTGGCAAGACTGATCTCAGATACGTGTTAGCTGCTCCAGTGGAGCCCAGCGAAAGGCCAGCTGGAGCTCCAGTGCCCCCGGTCTGACAAAACGGGTGCTGGCGAGCTACTTCATTAAGTGGTCCTACCCCCATTATATTTGGCATTAATGATTGCAGTAGCTGTTTGAGGCACCTGACCTGCAGAATAAAGTTCAGAGTCATTAGTTAAACCTTTCTCTTGTGTAAAGTGTTGGTCAATCCACACAAGTAGCTGCTTGTATTAAGTCCCCGAGTATTGCATTGAGATTCAGAGGGAATCGCTTCTGTGGCTCAAGTACATGCTCAGACTGGCTCAATGAGTAGTCATTAAGCTACAGTGAAGTCATTTTTATTTTATATTCAATTACCCAATGCCATTTAGAGTCTTCCTGGCTAAAAGATAAGATTCGGTACTATTTCCTGGAGTAAGGCACTTGTAAAACTGTACTATTGGTGCTCAGTGCAGGCTGTCGGGGCTGTGGCCCTGATACCAACAATGGTCTGAAGATCTCTGAGCATTTCCACGCCTTCTGGAAAAACAAATGTGCACAAGATGAAGCCTCATTAACAGATTTATCCCAACATTTAAGTGAAAAATTTGGCCAGTTTGAACTGCTTTTTCAATAGTCTAGAGGTTTTTTTTTCTCCTTGAAAATAAAAATTTAAAATACATGCAAAAATGCATGCAGCGCTGTGAAGATTGCGGTATCACTGCAGCATGCTAAACTCATGAAAATACTTTCAGTTTATAACAATGTTCTACTGACTTTTACTGTATTGTGCCAGTAAAACACATCTCCTTAATGGTGAAATGGGATGTGTGAAATGGGATCAAACCTTGGAACAGGCTGCCCAGGGAGGTGGTGGAGTCACCATCACTGGAAGTGTTCAAAAAACGTGTCGATGTGGCGCTTCAGCATATTGTTTAGTGGGCTTGGTGGTGTTGCATTGACGGTTAGACTTGATGATCTTAAAGGTCTTTTCCAGCCTTAATGATTCTGTGATTCTGTATGCAAAGAAGATGCCGTTATTTAGATAGGCTTTAACGTTGGCATTGACTCACCTTGCCATATCTTTTTAACCTAGTTTTGTGTGAGGATAGAGAAGAATCCTGGCCTTGGTTTTAGTATCAGTGGTGGAATAAGTGGACAAGGAAATCCATTCAAACCTTCTGATAAGGTAAGCTATAAATTTGTCTCTAAATGCTCCTTATTTTAGAGTCCCATACAGTGGAGACAGATAACAAGTGAAATTTTTATGCACTTCTCTTGTCATAATTGAAAGAGTTTTTCCCATACTTGTGTTTGGTTGTTTGTTTTTTTAGGGGAGTGTTGTTCCCTTTTTTCCGAGTGAAATTTTTATGCGCTTCTCTTGTCATAATTGAAAGAATTTTTCCCATACTTGTGTTTGGTTGTTTTTTTTTTTTAGGGGAGTGTTGTTCCCTTTTTTCCCTGGTTCATGAAGATGAGAGAATCAAACAAATCATATGGGTGTCTGCCTGATATTCCATGTATAAGATAATTTTTGAGACTGTTTTCTCAAGAATCGTGTCTCTCTCTTTTTTCTTTCAAGCGTCAGTTTAGGTCCTGATTAAACTTTCATTAAAGTCTTTAGAGGGAATACTAAACCAGTAATAGCATCACTAGGTAGCTGAAATGCCAGGGTTTATAGCAGCTGTATCAAATAAAATCAGCCTGGCCTGCAAACTGGTCTGGAGATCGTTGGTGCCCTGCAAACACCACGGCAAGCAGTCTTCTCTTCTGTTCTGCGAACTAAAAATGTCTCCATTATGGTACCTGATGGTCTGGGAGACTCAGTATTCATTCTGGGAATTACATGTTTAAGAGGTTGATAAATCTCTTGCCAGTAAAAGGAAGCCTAGTAAAAATACATCATCTGGTGATTATCAGCTACACAGGGATCTAGGATTAGCAAATGGACTCATAGACCTGTGAATTTATCTGGTCTGTGCAGTAAAACTGACGGGGGTTTGCTGAAAAACAAGTACTGTGGGTACCTCTCTGTTAAACATATTCTTATAGTTTATATTCTTTGATAATACTGGATTCAGTTTTAAGAGGCAGTCATAACTTGCATAAATATTGAGAATGTTGGCAAATGAAATTAAAACTATCTTTTAATCTCTTCTCAAAAATGCGAGATCTGCGTGCAAATTTAAAAAATAATTTCCCTATTGATAATCCATGTTTTGAACTTCAAGAATAGTTCCATTTAATGGACATAACTGTTAGGCATTGTAACGACTCTCGCTTAAAACATTCTGATTGTTGGTGTCCTTTGAGACTGCACACTAGAATTACACTTTATAACATCATGGTCTTTTTTTCCACAGTTTACTGTATGATGTTAGAATTAAGCTATACTTCCACTGTCTATCACTTGCCCAAAATTATTAAAGAAGAGCCTATCTCCCACTATGAATGTGTCTGCACCATAATACATGCAGTGCAGTAACAGCTGTAAATAGACTTAATTTTACCAATAACAGAAATGCAAAATCCTGTATTGAGGGAGTGATAGGGTGGTTATTTTGAAGGAATTAATAGTTAAACAGTTTTTTATGTGCTGTTACTCTGAAACATTGCTTCCCACCCCATTAAATCAGATTTATCATGTTTTAAATATCACAGAAGCGGTACGAGGGTCATACTGTCTCTCATCATAGATGGCCAGTTGTTTGTGATGCTTTTAAGTCACGCATATGGTGCTATTCTGCCTGTAAGATGAAATCAGGGGGGATGACAGTGAGCACCCTTCTGCATTGCGATACACCTCTGCCCTGACACGCTGACGGTGCTGTGGTGGAAGGACAGGAAGAGCG